ACAAATTCATATTGACTTTTACCTGAGCATGTTCCCTGAAAAATGGTATAAATAAAATGTTTCAAGGAGAAAAATCGATATGATGACTGGTTTACAACAGTGTAATAATATGAATATTTTGTATTGTTTTTGGCTTTTCCTTTTTACCTCAGAGCCTTAGCATCTGCTATTCCTTCTGTTTGGAGCATTCAGTCAACTTTTGACTCTTTGTATTACTCTCATCTTATTTAACTCCTTCATCTGGCTAGCTCTGATTTATCCATTAGGTCTCAGATTATATATTGGTATCTCAAAGTCGACCTTCCATTCTGAATTAGGTCCTTCATTATACCTTTCATAGCATCCTGTACTTTTCCTTCAATATTCCAATTATAATTATATACTCACTTGTTTGATATTTGTGTAATAACTGTTATCTTTACTAGACCATAATCTCCATGGCATATAACATGGTGTTGGGCACATAATATGATCAAAGGGGAGCTGATTTTTTTTTTTTTTTAAGAATGAATGAACACATAAGATTACCAACAGGGTTGTCACAATTTATATCTAATCTTTATACAAAATTAGCAGACTTTACACAAATAGAGATACAGAGAATCAGGTGTATCTTCTATAATAGAAACAGAAGGTAAGCCACAATACTTTTAAACAAAGAGCAAGAGACTTTGTTGGTGTTACTTATTCTATTTTCTCAGTGTTCTTTATCTTTTGAGAAAAGAACACACAGATTCTGCAATTCTGAAGGCCTCTGACATCAATTGTCTTATGTCAGTACCTTCTTCCAATTCCCCTGTGAAGTTATTCGAAACCTTATATTTTTACTTTTAAATTTCTGACATTTTTTTTACATAACTGTGACCATTATCACAATAATTCCTTTTTAAATTTTAATTTTAATTTTTAAAATTTTCTTCTCCACCCCTCCCCTTTGGCAACCATCAGCTTGTTCTCTATATCTCTGGGTTTGTTTCTGTTTTGTTTATTCATTTTTTTTAGATTTCATACATGAGATCATAGGTATTTGTCTTTCTCTGACTTACTTCACTTAGCATAATAACCTCTAGGTCCATCCATGTTGTTACAAATAGCAAGAGTTCATTCTTTTTTATTGCTGAGTAATATTCCATTGTGTATATGTGTGTGTCTATGTGTGTGTATATACAAATATATCACATCTTCTTTATCCATTCATCTGTTGATGCACATCTAGGTTGCTTTTACATCTTGGTTATTGCTGAATAATGCCGCAATGAACATAAGGGTGCGTCTATCTTTTTGAATTAGTATTTTTATTTTCTTTAGATAGGTACCCAGAATTGGAATTGCTGTATCATATGGCAGTTCTAATTTTAATTTTTTTTTTGAGGAATCTCTATTGTTTCCCATTATGGCTATACTAATTTACAATTCCTCCAAGAGTGTACAAGGGTTCCCTTTCTCCAAATCCTTACCAGCACTTGTTATTTGTTGATTTATTGATGATAGACATTCTGACAGGCGTGAAGGGATAGTACACTGTGGTTTTAATTTGTGTTTCCCTAGTGATTAGTGATAGTGAACATCTTTTCATATGTCTGTTGGCTATCTGTATGTCCTATTGGGAGTAATTTCTATTCAGATCCTCTGCCCATTTTTTAACTGGCTTGTTTACCTTTTTGGTATTAAGTTGCATGAGTTCTTTATATATTTTGTATATGAACCCTTTATCAGATGTATCACTTGAAAATGTCTTCTCCCATTAACTAGGATATCTTTTTGACTTGTTGTTGGTTTTCTTTCTGTACAAAAACTTTTAGTGTAATGTAGTCTCATTTGTTGATTTTTTTTTTCTTTTGTTTCTCTCACTTGAGGAGATATATCCAAAAAGATACTGCCAAGAGCCATGTCAAAGAGTTTACTACCTATGTATTCTTCTAGGAGTTTTATGGTTTCAGGTCTAACATTTAAGTCTTTAATCCATTTCGAGTTTATTTTTGTATATGGTTTAAGAAAGTGGTCCAATTTCATTTTTTACATGGATCTGTGATTTTAATTATTGGTCTCAAAACTCCTATGCTACCTCACCCTGCCTTAATCTTAGTAGATAATCTTGACACCTACATTTGAGTGAAAATAAAGGCTATAAAGTGAGAAATACTTCAACTTTCTCCCTTTCATCTCTCTCCACCCCTACTCCTCCCACAAAAAGCCGGCAGCCATATGCTTTTTAATTTTTTTTATTTTTTCTCTTACAAGAAGCATTTTCCACCTGTGACTTTAATTTGGTTCTTCTCTGTTTCCTCTATGGTTTTGCTGTATCCATCTCCTTTCTTTTCTATCTTCTTAAAACTTGTTTATATTTTATCCTTTTTATCAAACTATGAATATGTTCATTCATTCTATAAAAATTAATGAAAAACATCCTTTTCTTTAATTCCGCATCCCTCATTATAGTTACCTTTGTATTCCTTTACTTTTCATCTCATATGAGTCTGTCTACCCTATGTCTCTACTTTCTCACCTCTCAATTAGTTTTTAACCTACTGTCAATTGGTTAACACAAGAACACAGCAAATGAAATGCAGGAAACTATCGCCAAGAGTCCGTAACATCTGTTGCATTAAGTTTATGATAAGTACATGCGTTTGGTTGACTTAGAGAGTCAAAATCAAGATTGATACTGACAAAAAATCTATGATATGGCTGATCATCTTTTTATTCTATTTAAAATACTTTATTGGCTTTCTAAAACCTATAAGACAGTATCCAAGATTTTATTTTATTTTTTAACATTGAGAGCGTTATTTCATTTTTATATTTTATACCAATTATGTAGCAGTACTATATAGGAAATATAATCAATAATATTGTATTAACTATGTATAGTGCCAGGTGGGCAATATCAAAGATTTTTAAATGACCTAAGAGGGCCTCCATGATTGAGCTATTTCCTGTCTATGCCTCTTCACCTGCTGCCATTGCCCTCTTGCACTTTAGGCTTCATCAGCACTAAATACATGATACTTTCAGAATCCTGTGTGTGTGTGTGTGTGTGTGTGTGTGTGTGTGTGTGTGTGTGTGTGTTTTACGTATTGTTTCCTATGCCTAAAATGTCTTTCACTTCTCACTTCCTGGGTAAACTCCTGTTTATCCTTCAAAATCCTGTACAGACATCATAAACTCCAGGTAGCTTTTCTGAATGTCCTTCTCCCCCAGAGTTACCCATCCACCTATCCATTCATTTGTTTCTTTATTATTGGGCAAATATTTATTGAGTACTTAGTGTAGTCCAAATGCCGTGTTAGGTACTGAGAGCACAATGGTCAATAAGAAAGATCAAACATGGCCTTTTACCCTTCTTGGCTTTATATTTAGCAGTGGGTACACACACACAAACACAATATACACATATCCAACAAATTATACAAATGAAATAATCACTAATTTACAAAGTGCTATGAATAAAAGAAACAAGGAACTGGGATACAGTATAATAAAGAGGAGTGGTAGACATAGAGGCAACCTACATTAGTATGAGGTTGTGCCATATGAAATTGCTTGTATTTGACTGTTTTGTATTATATAATTGGCAGTTTGATGTGGTTCAATGTAATATTTGCCTTTCTGATGAATTGACATTTAAACTTAGACATGAAGGATGATATGAAACTGGCCGTGATGGCTAAGCTTGGAGCTTAGTATATTCCACAAACCAAGAGAAGACTGGAGAAGATAGAATTGAGAAGAGGGATGAGTGACTTTAGATGGAAGTAAGGGAGATCATACAGGACAGATCATACAGGACCTTTATAGGAGTTTGGATTTGATTCTTATTAAGGTGTGAAGCCGCTGGAGTATTTTAAGGTCCTTCTTATTGCAGCGTAGGACCAGAATGGAAAAAGGAGTAGAAATAGGGCAATCAATTTAGGAGTTGATATAAGGAGGCAATATAGTGTTGTGTTAGATATGAAGGGTTTGGAGTCAGGCCACCTTGTTTTAAATATGTGGTGACAGAAAGAAATCTAACTATGGGAGGGGAACACACAATGCATATATGTAGTTATATATATATATATATATATATATACACACACACACACACACACACACATACATACATATATATATACATATATATATACATACATATATATATACATATCTGTCTTACTGTTCAATTGTACACCCGAAACTTAACGAGATTTCATTAACCAATGTCATAATTAATTAATTAATTAATTCTGGTTCTGACATTTATTAACTATTACTTTATGTAAGTTACTCAAATTCTTGAAGCCTCAATTTCTCTCTCTGTGAATTAGGGAGAATAGTAGAATCAGTCTCATAGTATAAATCTAGAGATTGAATGACATAATCCATTACAAAACACTAAGCATTCCCTGGTAAAAAAAAAATAAACAGCAGTAGATAACTAGAGATTAATAGTCCATGTGAGAGATGATAGTGCCTGGACTAACTTAGTGACAGTATACTTGGAGAGAAGTGAATGGATACGAGACTTATTGTGGAGGTTTAAACAGCGGGACTTAGTAAAGGATTAAATGTGAGTGCTGAGGGAGATTTTTTGAAGGATCTTTTTCAGGTGTTTCTGAATTTCTAGATTTCTTTCAAAGAATGGAGTGGATTGTCCTGCACTTTTGTAAGTTAGAGAGGTCTGCCTGGTATAAAATTTAGCAATAAAAGTTTTCTCTCTCTTTATACCATATAAAGCAGAATGAAAGAAAAAAAATTACATGTTATACAATATAAAGGGAATGCTTATTAAAAATTTTAGATAACAAAAGTATAAGAGGTATATCAGACACTTTGTTGTATTTATGCACAATGTCTAAAATATGCAAAAATCTTAAATATGTATATTCTTTGTTCCCAAGATCTAAGATTTTGAAATTTTCTACTGTACTGTGTGATAGATGGTGAACCATTAAACTTATGTGTTTATTTTGTCTTACATTAAAGTGGTTTAGTAATCATTTCATCTGCTTCTCTCACAGGATGGAGCCCAGTTGGTATACCAGCAGTTGAAGAACTTAAAGAGGGTGTCTAACTGTAATCTCCTTAGCAACTGAGAGTCTGCTCTGGGAACCATTAGGCACCATGGGAAAGCGGGATAATAGGGTAGCCTATATGAATCCTATAGCGATGGCCAGATGGAGGGGCCCAAGTCAGTCTGCAGGCCCAACAATACAAGATTATCTCAATCGACCAAGGCCCACATGGGAAGAAGTGAAGAAACAATTAGAAAATAAAAAGAAAGGCTCTAAGGCTTTAGCTGAATTTGAAGAAAAAATGAACGAGAATTGGAAGAAAGAACTAGAAAAAAGCAGAGAGAAAGTCTTAAGTGGAAATGAAAGTTCATCCAAAAAAAGAGAAAGAAAGAAAAAGAAAAAGAAGAAATCTTGTCGGTCTTCGTCTTCATCAAGCTCTGATTCTTCAAGCAGCTCTTCAGATTCTGAAAATGAAGAAAAGAAACAAGTAAAAAAGAGAAAGAAAAAGAAGAGCCATTCACACAAGTCATCAGAAAGCTCTACATATGAATCTGAATCAGAGAGCAAGGAATCTGGGAAAAAGAAAAAGAAGTCAAAGGACGAAACAGAGAAAGAAAAATATATTAGAAGTGTCAGCAAAAAAAGAAAGAAGATTTATCCTGAAGATAAGCCTTTATCATCGGAGTCCTCATCAGAATCAGATTATGAAGAAGAATTTCAAGCCAAAAAGAAGAGAAGATGTGAAGAACGAGAAAAAGCAGTGGAAAAAGCAAAGAAGAAGAAGAAGAAGCAGCACAAAAAACACAGTAAGAAGAAGAAAAAGAAGTCGAATTAAGTCACAAGTCAGGATAACATCAAGAAAAAAGGCAAAATTTCCCTATTTAAAAAAAAGCAAGATCTAAAGTGAACTTCAACTGTGAATGTTAGGGCACATTTACCAAAATGCATGAGTTTCCCTGTGTTAATAGAATTATTATTGGACTTTGAGTTGCCAGTCAAATGCCACTGTGCCAAAAAGGGCCATAATTGTTGCCTGCAGCTTAAATATAGGATTTTGTTTGTGTGTTTTTCCTTCCAGTGTATTAATTACTCTGAGAACTAAAATGCTGTTGTCACACTAGTGGTTAAAACGTTTTCAATTAAAGTAAAATGTTTTAGATAATAAATTTTGACAAAGTATATCTAATATTAAAATTATCTAATTTGGATACATCTTTAAAATACAATCTGAAATATCCAGACAATTATAGTTGACATTTTTGAAGCATGGACTTAACATTGATGTCTTAAAATACTTTTGAAGATTAGTTTAGTTTAGTTTACTTTTCTCCTTAAGAAACTTTTGTTTACATGGGGAAAGGGCTTGTGGGGGAAAAAAGAGTTTGCTATCACTTTGGCTAGCTGAATAGTGTGCCTTTGATCCTTACACATTCTATTTTTGCCAGTGCAGCAGCCATTCTTTTCTTAGTGAAATTCTGAGATATTGTTGTATGCTGTTTCAAGTGAACAAGAAAGACAGCAACTTAGTAGTATAAGTAAGCCCCCAATTCTATGAAATTTACCTCTACTTCAAAGTACTGAATAGTATTTAGCATTAGAGTATTACATGATTTGAATTAACTTTGATACCCTTTGGAGGGGAATAATTTTAAATAGACCCTGGTATTTTTTGATTAATAAAGATTCTGAAATATTTTGCATGTTTTATACTATTCAGTTTTGATTATCCAGGGATGTTCTGTATAACCAGTAATCCTTTTTTTTATATGATTTATGCTTAAGATACAAGTTTCAAGTTTGTAATTTCTTAATCTTACCATATTAATTTAATTACCGTGTTTAATTGCACACTTGCCGAAATACTTAGCATGTAAAAAGAAGGTTTTTAAAAAATATTTAATGCCTTCATATTGAAGCTGGTTTACTGTAAGCAAGTTGAGTGCCAGGTATCTTGTATGCTGTGTGTCTTGTAACATAAAACTACTGCCACACTCTTAGTAAATGTGCTGTTTAAAAGTTTGTTGTCTTAAGCATTAATATTGAATTAAAATAGAAGTTAAATTTAGGAGATAATGATATCATTGATCTTCCTATGTCATGTTTTACTGATATTTGGTACCTCATTTCTGTTGCTGATTCACGTTTATCACTAATGCTGAAATGAGTTGAAAATTATTTTTACTTTACATTTTTATATATTAAGTAATGTGGATTATAAATTGATGCCTCAAAAAACACCTATTACAGAGGATATGTTCATTGTAATGTCATATGTACAAAATATTTTGGCATGATGAGAGAGTCAATAGCTATTTTTTTAAATAGATTTCATGTCAGCTCCCTTGAATCACAAGCAATTATAATTATACAAAACATCTAGTAGATAAATAATATATTGGCTCCCAAAAGTTTTGAAATGGAAATAACAAAATTTCTCAGTAAGGATCATGGAAAAGTATAAATGTAATGCCAAATGTAAGCTTCATAACATTATCTGTTTCCTAAGAATATATCTATATCTATATAAAATTATTATATTTAAGGGGTATTTTGTATCCATATAGAGTTTTTCAAAATTGTTGTTCAATAAAATATGAAAAAAGCTTATATTATTTGTAGAATGTGGCAAAGATTATTAAATATCTATGTGCTCCCATCACTTCCCAGCCCCTTGTAGTTAGGCTATGCCATTTGACTACTTCTAGCAGAAGGATTGCAGAGAGATTGTGAACAGAAGTGATGTGTTGTTTTGATATTGGAGCGATAAAAGTCCTGTGTGGATCCTCCAGCTCTCTCATTACCTGCCACAGTGACCTGAAAGCAATGTAATCCACATGGCATACGTACAAGATGGATGCAACCTGGATCTCTAAGTCACTGTCTGTAAAGAACCTCCCCTGGAGAGCTGATGAATTCGCAGTGAATGTTTTCAGAGTAAGAAATAAACTGTTACGTGTTAAGCCACTGAGATTCGGGGTCTTCTTTGTTACTACAGTATCACCTAACCTAATCTGACTAATAACATAGGGCTCTAGAATGTTTGTTTCAGTTTTTACATAAAATAACTCACATATCTTCTATCACATCTAAGTAGTCTGCAGTTTCAGAGGGATTTTTTTATGCATAGTAGAAGGAAATGTTAGTTCATTTACAATGATTTTTATGTAATAACTAAAGAAGAGAGTAGTCTAACATAGTATTTCATGCTTATCAGCAATGCTGACAAAATAAGAAATAAAGTTTCATTATTCCTCTGATTGTAGCCAAAACAATCTTCCAATAAGTGATTTGTGAAGGAAATTTAAAAAGCACTCATGGGGTCCTGATAAAGAAGAGGAATGCTATTTTATACATATAAATATAGATGATATGGTAAAGAAAAGTGATATGGGAATATGTGGACAATGAGCTAAATAGATTTAGGTGAACATTTAATATGTAGCCTCCAGACTGAGTGAAAAATATATCCCTTATGTGAAAACTACTAAAGTTATTATTAGTAATTTGCTTTATGTAACTTTAAGAATAATAGCTTTAGCCATAACATTCAACAAATGTTGACCGTAGAAAGGGAAGCAGTGATGAAGTCAATAAGAAAGTAGATGGGAGAGAGGAAAAACAATACAATCTAGATTAGGAATGTAGCTGCAATCACAAGAAGAATTTGAAAGATCTTAGCCTGAAGATGAAAGATTAGATTGGAGGTAAGGAGAATGAATAAAATTTGGGGTTCTGGTTTTGTATTTTGTGATAATTCCTTTGATTATAAATTTATCTTGAGAAAGTTGTACCTTTGACATTGTAACTCTATAATCATTTCCTTTTTGACCATTTTTATTTTACAAAAAGCAATATTCTGATGTAGATTTATAGCTACTTTATGACTCATGAAAATTGTAGCCAAACAAAACATGTCTATGTACTTCAGAGCTGAACTGACTTTCCTAGTCCTTCCTGAGTTCCAAACAAAATGTGTTCTTTCTTCAAATTACTCCATCACTTTTACTTGTCTCTTTCATGACACTTACCTTAATTTACTTTGTATTATATATTTTGTGTACTTATGTACTCTACTTATTAAGAGTACTTGCTCTTAACTAAGCACTAGGTTGAAATTCTTAGTGTGCCATTTCTTGATATGTGACTCTAAGTAAGTTAGTTTACCTCAATGTGCCTCAATTTCCTCAGATTGAGAGGAAAAATCAGAAAAAAATAGTATCTATCTCTAGAATTATTACGCAAAGAAGACAAAATAACATTTAAAGCATCTAATACAGTCCCTGGCACATAGTAAATGCTCAATAAATGTTATTCTTTTATCTATTCCTATCTTCATCATCAGCATCATTATATCATTATCCCCACTACTGTATTTTAACCTCCTCAAAGGTAGAAGCTGTTTCATCTTTGATCTCTTAGAATAATGGTACACAATGTTCTGCATACGATAGGTGTCTCATGATTTTCAGTAAATCGTATTAGTTGGTCAGGCCCTGCAAGAAAAGAAAATCTGAATAAATGCAATGTATTAGATGCTATGTATAAGCTCCCAAGCTCAGTTTTTAATCAACTTACTGAAATATAATTTGCATGGCATATGATTTAACTTTTAAAAATATACATTTCAATGTTTTTTAATATACTCATAAATATGTAAGCAAAACCACAATCAATGTTAGGACATTTTAATCATCTCAAAAATAAATTCCATATTTTCTCATTCCTACTACCTCCCAGCCTCCCAGCCCTAAAACACTGCTGACATGCTTTCTGTCTCTATAGTTTTCCCTGTTCTGGACATTTCCTATAAATGTAATTATACAATATGTGGTCTTTTGTGGCTGCCTTCTTTCACTTACTATAATATTTTCAAGGTCCATCCATTTTGTAGCATGTATCAAGAACTATATACCAAGAAAATATGAAAGAAAATCTAGTACATACAAAATTTCTGCTGGAACCAGGAAAAACACCACCTCCATACTTATGTTGAGCATCATTAATCTGACTTGTACTGCTTCAAATATTGCAGACTATTTGAGAGATTATATTTTCTGGACATAAAAATGTTCAAATAAGGATTCATGAGAGAGCAATTGAACCAATTTTTATGATGGAGGCTGATAACATTAACACAAGTTGAGTATGATTTTGCACTGAGAAATTTGGCAAGAGTAGAAGTGTTTAAAGAGGACTATGGATATGCTAATATCCCCTCCAATATACTACTGCATTGAATGGCATAATTAAGAACTCTATATGCTGTTTTCAGATATCTTTTTCCAGAAGTTGTTTACTAAAATCAAATGATTTATATGATTAATAATGTTATTATAAATGACCTTATTGCTAGTTATTTTTAGCATCTTGTTGCCTGTGTGGGGATAGTAAATCTTTTATTTTTTCCTTGTATTCAAGCTGAAATAAAGTTTATAGAATTATTTTACATACTGTAAAATGATTACCCATTCTGCTATCTTAGAACTCAAAATGCCATAGCTTATGGAAACTTGTGAAATATAAATGCAAACCAACTTTTTAACCATTAAAATAACCGTTTGTATCAAAGTGTTTATATTAAGTCACCAAATATTTCCATGGACTCTATTTTTCAAACAATCTTGATCAAATATTTTTAATAAGAATACTATCTAAGAATAGCCAGTGAAATATGATCTTGTAAAAGCCTGGTTATTCTCCACACAGGAGGAAAGCCTGAAAGTTTGAGAGTCTCTGCATTTGGTTTGTACATTGTGCTGTGTGACAGGCCTGCAGACTATGAGGTTAGTGTTCCCACCATTCAGACTATCTTGTGATAGTTTTAGACTCTAAAATTGCATCAAAGATCTTTAGATAATAATTCTGACAACTCAGGAAAGTGTTTAATTTTTTTTTTTTTTTTTTTTACTTAAAGAGTCTGACTACATGGTATTTCATGAACAAAACAGGAATAGTTTTAAAGGATATCTCCGAAACCTTTTAGTTTAAACTAAAAATCAACAGTTTTGCACCTGTTGTCCATCCCTTCTTTTGACA